TTAAAAACTCTAGACCAATGAGAATAATGTATTTTAAAAATTCTCTAGACCAATGAGAATAATGTATTTTAAAAACTCTAGACCAATGAGAATAATGTATTTTAAAAACTCTCTAGACCAACAAGAATAATGTATTTTAAAAACTCTAGACCAATGAGAATAATGTATTTTAAAAACTCTCTAGACCAATGAGAATAATGTATTTTAAAAACTCTAGACCAATGAGAATAATGTATTTTAAAAACTCTTAGACCAATGAGAATAATGTATTTTAAAAACTCTTAGACCAACAAGAATTATGTATTTTAAAAACTCTCTAGACCAACAAGAATAATGTATTTTAAAAACTCTCTAGACCAACAAGAATAATGTATTTTAAAAACTCTAGACCAATGAGAATAATGTATTTTAAAAACTCTCTAGACCAATGAGAATAATGTATTTTAAAAACTCACTAGACCAATGAGAATAATGTATTTTAAAAACTCTTAGACCAATGAGAATAATGTATTTTAAAAATTCTCTAGACCAATGAGAATAATGTATTTTAAAAACTCTTAGACCAATGAGAATAATGTATTTTAAAAACTCTCTAGACCAACAAGAATAATGTATTTTAAAAACTCTCTAGACCAATGAGAATAATGTATTTTAAAAACTCTCTAGACCAATGAGAATAATGTATTTTAAAAACTCTTAGACCAATGAGAATAATGTATTTTAAAAACTCTCTAGACCAATGAGAATAATGTATTTTAAAAACTCTTAGACCAATGAGAATAATGTATTTTAAAAATTCTCTAGACCAATGAGAATAATGTATTTTAAAAACTCTCTAGACCAATGAGAATAATGTATTTTAAAAACTCTCTAGACCAACAAGAATAATGTATTTTAGGCAATTGAAATGCTGGTATAATAACACTGTATACTGTAACATGATTTAAAATATCTGTGATAATCATAGCAATGTGATTTTTGTTGTTTTGTAGGATTTTCTTCTCTCCAGTTACTCGGTCGTGATCATAGATGAGGCACACGAAAGGAGTGTTTATACAGACATTCTGATTGGTTTACTTTCAAGAATAGTTCCTCTCAGAAAAAAGGTCTGGGTTTGTTTGAATTTGTGTTCCAGTGTCAATTTTCAGTTTATTTTCATTATTCAAAATAAGATTACTTATATGATTCACTGTTTTTGTGCATTTCTTTGTAATGAATCAAATACAATCAAAATCATGTATGATTAGATTATAGATAATTGTGGAAACTAGAATGGTTGAGTTATTAAAAAATCGATTTCTTTATTCTAAATGACAAAGCACATGCTATGAAAAAACAGATAGTCTTTTTTTTCTGGAAATAACAGCCTAGATACTTGCCTATATATACCCGGTATACTGTAAATCATATAATTTTAATGATTTCAGATTTTATGGCATTCAAAAATACAAAATTTTGCAATTCATAAAAATTTGTCTTTCCGAATTCAGTTTACAGTAACTTTTACTGTATTTGTGTCGTGATTTCTCAAGATCTATGCTTTCTATATCACATGTGACTTCGGTTAGAAACCCTTATCTATTATACATCTTCTTTTTATTCACAACATATTTTTGTGAATTCTCCTCAGAGAGCAAAACCTTTGAAGTTGATAATCATGTCAGCCACCCTGCGAGTGGAAGACTTCACAGAGAATGGCAAGCTATTTAAAGTGAAACCACCGGTGTTGAAAGTGGATTCCAGACAATACCCCGTCACTGTACACTTCAACAAAAGAACACCAATGGATGACTATATGAATGAAGCATATCAAAAGGTAATTTTTTTTTGACTGCCAAATGTTTGGTTTTCTTTTTTTTTTCCAGTGTAAAATATAAGCTGTGACAGGCAGTGATATATTATCTACATGTACATGCTATAGCAGCTTGCCTACTTCACTCGAATACTGCATCACAAATCAAAAGCATAATTTACTAATTTACTCTGATTTCAGTTCCAATTTGTGTTACCATGTTGACAGATTATAACATTGCATGATACATTTTAATAATCTACCGGTACTGTTTTAATGTTTTTGTGAGAATGCTATAAAAAATTAAAGATTATATGGTGACCCAACCATTTATTTTTATTTTGTGTATCCTAATAACATTAACCTATAATAATGGTAAACTTGACATGTAATCTTAAATTTCCCTTGAAACCAAATGGGTTGATTATTTTTTCTCGTAGATTTTAAAAATTCATCGGACTTTACCTGCCGGTAGTATATTGGTTTTTGTTACTGGACAAAATGAGGTCAATGCCCTCTGTAGAAAGCTTAAAGAAGCGACAAGACCAAAACAGTTCAAGGCTCATTTGCAGGGTAAGACCAATATATATTTTATATAATATTACCTCCATGAGGGTTAACTTGCTTGTACATGTATCTGTAAGACTATCAGCAGGATAACTAAAAAAGATGCATATATGGACGAATATTCATGAAATTTCCACGAGGGGATGCCCTTGAGGCAAGACTCTCTTTGATTGTATCTTTCCATGGAAAACAGCATTATGGACATGTTATCGTGAAATTTTCATGATATAAAGATATCAACCAATTAGATTTGGGGGAATCTAGATCTGGTTGATGACATGAAAAGATAAGTATTTTGCATCTGTGGCAGAGGTCTGTACTGTTGTAATGCCTTCTTGTTGGTTTTCAATGATTGAACATAGTGTGTAATATACATGTAGGTTTAACTAAAGACATAAGAAATAATGTCTTTGGTTTAACATGACAGTCAAAATTCATTCTTGTATCAAGTCATGTGACCATGTACTAAGGCTTCTTCATCTTTACAATACTGTCTATGGGAGTTTTATGGTATGGAACCTGTGGCATTGATTACAGTTGTGTTGATAATAAAAAATTGTCAAAATACACAGGTTTTAATGATGTGCTTTTCCCAAAAAATAATTAAAATTTTGTTACTTGTAATTTGTTTTGTGACATCATTCAAAATGTGTTAATGGAAATAAAAATGTTGTGCTTTACAGACGAGGATGCTGAAGATGATGAACAAGAAGCTAAAGATTTCAAAAAACGGAAATTACCCAAAATACAACTGGATAGGTAAATAGCACATTTCATTTGTTGACTGTTTTAACATGAAACTCATCTTTTAGGAAAGTTGTTTAAAAGGTGGTAGTCATCATGATGATGTTAAATATGGGTCCCATGTACTGTATTTATCCGGGTAAGAGCCCAGGGTCCTGAACATGGAAAATTGCCAAAAAATAGCGGCGGGCCTATGCCTGGACATCCCCTGCAAAAAAAAACACGAAAATTGACAACTCGCAGAACGAACTGCAGCAGGGAGTAGAACGGCAAATGAAAACATGCAACATAAATCAATGAACAATATGCAACATTTGAAGTAAAATAAAAATAATTTATTGCTTAAAATATTGGCACTTTTAATTCATGACTAATCACAATAAAAAGACAAGAAAAATGGGGTTGCTTTGCTACGATGGCACACGCTGCTTTTGTTTACAGCCTGTCACCAGTATGTTTGATTTGGTGATTAGAGACCACATCCTACAGTGTTCAGTGCTCCAATATTTGTGGATTTATTGCCATACCAACTGATTTCATCATTTCATATCATTGTCTTTAAATTAATAAAAAGTAAGATGCATTGGGCCATTCCAGTTTATATCTCCAGTTTATTTGATGAGCTTGTGTGTGTTTATGTGGTGGAAACTGCCACAAACAGTACAGGATCTTTAAATCTCACTAGATAGACGGTAGATACATCAAGCAGTAGACGGTATACCAGTGTGCAATGTTCTAATGGTGAACACGCAATTATTCAGTTGTACAGGGACGAGATAGAGCTAGTTGAAAAACTACATACAGTACGCTAGGACGATTTGGAACAATGTATCACTTGGAGTACAAAGGATGAAGTCTGTCTTAACACTCTTTGTCAATTTAAAGACAAGGGTGGATTCACCCCTTAGAATTTTAATCCTTGGCGTCAATTAATATGATTGGTTGTTTTAATTGAGTCAATCAGGGAGAACACACTTATGTAAACTGATAGAAATGGCTGAATACAGGCCAATGTGTGTTTCTTTGCGTCACGAAAACAGCATAAATCTATAGAAACTTTGACTACAACTACTCAATTTTGATAACATAACTGGAGATAATAAACACTGATAATTACATACAACAATAAAATAAATCTGATAAAAAGAAGCAAAGTTATGGTTAAATACATGTAACATGAAAAATATATGTATCCACATGGTACAGTGTAATAACGATAGTTTACTTCATACAGGGTATAATTTCCATGGTGTATAAGTCATACAAAGTTTTATTTCCAAATCACTATTCACCATACAGTAATGGAAATTCAAAACTATAGTTCCTACTTATGGTGTTGATGAGTTCTATTGTGCCACCATACAGAGTAGGATTTCCAAATATAACTCATCATATGCTAATTTAGCAAGTTCACAATTTTATATTTGATAATGGGAATCCAAAGTAGTCCTGATTCACGGTGTTGATGAGCTTATTCGTGCCACCATCATTATCTAATTTCAGTAATACCGTAACTATTTCATACTTGCCCAATTTTTTTACCATATACAGTCAGAATTCCAAGTTTTTTTAGTCATACTGTTGGAAATCCAACCTCATCAACTGGTATGTGGCGAGATAAATTAGGCCATATTTTATTTAGTAGCCATAACTGCCTGGAATGCCATGATTTTTTTTTCCATACTCGTCTGGATTTCCAGATTCTGTTCCTCCATATACAGTTGGAATTCCTGGGTATTTTCCCCATCATACAGTGCTAGAAATCCGACCACATCAACGGGGGGGGGGGGGGACTGGAATGGCCCATTTTCACACATACAATGTACATGTACATTTTTGACAACATTTCCTTCTTAAAATTGTCAGTCAGTCAGTTAGTAGTATCTTAAATGTGAATCACTGTTACAGCTATTCTGTGGATCCTTATGAAGAAGAAGAAATAGATGAAGTAAACGATGACCTTTTGGAAGATATCCAATCAGACTTTGGTTTACAAACTGAAGTGGATTCATCCGAGGATGAAATGGTAAGCCTCTTGTTTTTTGGCATCAACTTTACATTCTTCATACTACTTCTTAGAAACTAGTAACCATATGGCTTTGATACTTTCACGGAAGGTAACTTGAGTGGTTCTCCCACAAATATCATTACGATAACTGAATAGGCAGTTTTGACTAATCTGTCAAAAATTGCACGTAGTTTTCATGAGTCAACTTCTGCTGGGAAAATGAATTGCCCATGTCTATTTTAACCTTTAAATTTATATCATGTGAGTGAACTCAAACTAACAAGTTGGTTTCAATCTACAAACACTTTGATGCATTTATTGCCATGATCCACTACAGCTACATGTTGTATTCTACCATCATTAAACACTTCTATACCACAAGGAGTATTCAGTCCATTGTTATCACTATCAATCCTACAAATAAACTGACCATACCTGTCATACTTAGTGACTTTATGATCACTACTCACATAGACATAATCATTCTTATCTATGGCAACTCCCCTTGTGTGACTCATTGTACTGTCACCAGTGGAAGAGAATTCAAACATAAACTGGTCATCAGAATTGAATACCAGAATACAGTCATTTTTAAAATCTGCTACATACACAATCCCTTTACTGTTAAATGCCAACATGCAAGGGTTATTGAATCTTACCTGTTTGTTTTCCTTTTTTGCAAACGAATTAATGTACCTCCCATCTTGTGTATACTTCATAATACCCCCATTTAAAAACCCACTCACGTAAACATTCTTAGTTACAGGATTAATTGCAATGCCATATAAATCACCAATGTCAGAGCTTCCAAACCTTCTAATAAATGTTCCATGCTCATCACTGACAACTATTTGTTTGTTATTGTCATCTGTCATAAAGTATTCATTATTATCTGATATTGCTACATCACGTGGTGTGAATGGCTTTTCAAACTGATCAGTGAATGTAAAAGATTTTTTGTAATTTCCATCTCTGTCGTGAATTGCTACTGTGTTGTTCTTTTTATCAGCAGTGACAAAGTCATCATGTTTATTTATTGTTAGTCCTAGTGGGTGACTGAACTGCCCCTGTCTTCCTGTTATTCCCACGGTCTGTACCAATCCTCTTATAATGTCAATGTGTAGTGGAGATCCTGGTATTTGTTGGTTACCAATTGTCATGGCAACTTGCTGTTTTCCTTCCATCTTTCCTGTTATCATCACATGATGTGTCCCATTGCTATTTTCTGTAACATCAATGTCTTCCCATGATTCATCAGGTTTCCTTATCTTCACCTTAACATCTTGACGAGGAATGGTCTGTTTTCCTCTAGAGTCTCTGGTTGTGATGATCAGGTTGACAGATTCACCCTTCTGGAGTTGTTTTGGGATGTTTTCAACTGTACATTTGGATGGACAGGCATCAGATTTGATTACTCCTAGAAGTGTGTCCAAATCAGTGTCACTTCTTGGCTGGAACTCAGTGATATGACAAATTGGTGACTTTTTTTCCATAGCAATCAACTGCATAATACACTTACTAGATTCAGTCCTAATAGACAGCAGATGAACAGCATTCCCATGATGTACCAGTGTTTGGAGGTAATGATGTGTGCTGACTAAGTTGCCATGGTGAAACTCCATTTCATCGATGTTTATTGCTGCTTCTTTTAATTCAGTCTTGGCACTTTCATCCAAGTTATCTATCATCGTGTTCTCTTCTCTCTTTATTCTCTCTATCAATTCCTTTGCTCTTCTTCTAATTTTCATTTTTTCTGCCTCACACTGGTTTCTGATTTCTTCTCTTGTAGATTCAGCTGCTGCTTTTCTTTCCTCAACTTGTTTCTCTTTTACTTTTAACTGTCCTAACATCTCCTTCAGTTGGGTTTTATACTCGTCTGCTACCTCCTGTAAGTCTCTATGGATGTGTTCAGGAACTCTGTGTTTAACTATGGTACAGTCACTGCACACTGGCACCTGACATGTGTGACAGTAGAATTTCAGCTTGCTGTCTTTATGATCACTGCAGAAAACTTCAGTCTGCAATGTGAGATGACCCTTAGATTCTATCTCTTTGTACTTGTCAATTGTTAGTACTTGGTGACCTTTGAGAGGTGGAATGTGTTCATGCATTTTAACACAGACATCACAGCTAAACTGAGGGCAGTCTACACACCTGTGAGTTGCTGTCTTCTCTTGACATATCTCACACAATGGGGGATTGCCAGTAGTCAGCTGCTTCTGTCTCTGGAATGTGTCTAATAGACTTGTTAAAAAAAAGTTGGATTTTAGATCTTTGATGGGTGTGTCACACTGAATTCTGCATGCTGCACACCTCAAAACACCTTCAGATTTGGCTTTACAAGTCACCAGGCATTGCTCACAGAATGTATGAAGACATGGTAGAGCTTTAGGTTTCTTGTAGATCTCCAAACAGATGGAACAGCTCAGGAAATCCTCACCAATTTCATCGAGAAGAGACTTGTTGAGGGCAGCCATTTTGTTATGGCAGCCGAATTATACAATTACATTGTAATGATTTGCATGTATGTACTGAGTTGACTCCCTAGGAAAGTTGAAATTCTTATTATGTATTTCTGTGTTATTGGTGTACAGTGGCCTGACTATGGTTTCAGTGTTATGCTTTATCTACCTAAGGGATATTCTATTTATAGACTGTTAATGCTTGGATTCCTGCCAGACATCACTTAACTTGTTGACTTTTGACCCACTTTAACTTCATTGCTTAATCGTGAAAAAACATTCATTTTAGATTTAAATAAATAATATTTTAAATTTTAAACAGTTTTCTGTACAGTGGTGAAACAAAAGTGTTTAGCCCACACTTTTTTTTTTATTGGTTGAGCACATACTGATCAAAATCATTAATTTATATTTTTTAGTCCCCATATAATTGTGACAGTTTTTAAAAAATAATTTACTACAAATGGTTGTGCGGCCAGGCCAGTCAATTGTGTTACATGTAGTTATTCATTGTTTGTTATGAAATGAATGTCAATGAATTAATGATCATGATGAATGATTGCTTTAATCCTGATTCCTTATCAGGGTAATAAAAAAGTAATAATTTACACCTTAAAAAAAACACATCAACACTAAAATGTCAATCAATGATGGTGTTACATGTGAAAATCAAGGTGTGATCCTTAGCATCATAAACTTCATCAAAATCACAGTCCCTCTATAGAGGGACTGTGTCAAAATCAAGCATTTCTGTCATTCTATAGAAATTAATTTGTTGTTGTTCAGATCAAATTCAAAAAGGCTGGCTGGCCAATCAAGTTCAAAATTTATAGGTACATCATTTTGCACATTTGCACAAATAATGGTTTGACGATCAGATGCAAGATGGCTTATGGCGGCCATTTTAATGTTAAAATTCAAGCATTTCTGCCATTACAGAGCCGGATCGGATCTTCATCATGTATGGATGAATTTCGTTCAAATTAGGTACATACATTGGATTTCATGAGATCTTGATGCACATCTGTTCCGGAGCCACATTTTTGTATGTGAAAATTGTGATGTATAGAAATATGTATTCATGACTGAATTTCTATGATAAACTCAGGCTTTGTCCTGATTTACATCTGTGGCACATTGATTCATGTTGGTTTTCATCCCCAGATGGCAACACAAGACCTTACTGCTCTTGAACCCTGTAGAGTAATTACAACAACATATACGCAACTGTTGATTAGTTAATAATTTGAATCTTGGAGCCAGATTTGTAATATTCACTGAATCATTCATGAATGTACATACTTCATATAGTAAACATATTTATTGTATTTCAATTTTTCTTGTTAGGACAAAAGTGCTATAATGTCGTCTGAAAATGATGATGTCCCGTTACATGTTTTACCGCTATACTCGCTATTGTCCCCAGAAAAGCAAGCAAGGGTAGGTTTCTATATTCATGATTATATTTTTACTTTATTTCACTCTTTATCTTACAGCTACTCATTGAATTTGTTACTTTATTAAAATGATATGTACCAAATTCTGCAGACAAACTGTGGCACTTAATTGACATATATAACATACTGCAGAATACATAACAGCGTCCGGATTACTTTCGGAAATTCCGTCGCGTTTCGGAAAGTTTTAATTTTCAAAACTTTTGAATATTTATTTGTGCTTTTAGGTTAGTGAGAAGGTTATAATAATTCTTCATTTCACTTTAACACTGTTTTTACACCCCTCAGACCCCTTTAAAAAGTCACTTCTGGCCATTATAATGGCCACTATTTTCTAATGGCCAGAGTATTGACCAGAATTTTTTAA